AATAAAATTCAGATGATCCATGACTGGTAATAGAAGAATCTCTGTGCAGCAAAGGGTTACTTGCCTGATATGAAAGTCTCAAACTATTTTCTCTTGATATTAATCTTCCTTTTGGGTATATATGCCCTAGACCGTGGACTTAGGGAAAATTGACCCACAATTTTTATATGCAGACACTGCAATATTTTTATAATTCCTCATGGTGTAACTGAGACCAGTCTGGAACATTTAACTGAGGCTTTATTCATTTTGGGGAGAATTACAAACATGAAGGACAAAGAAGATGTCACAAAAATAGAGAACATCTTATAGGATCTAGCTTGCTGCTCTTCAAGCTCACATCGCCTATCCCATTCTGGTTTCGGTCATGCTTTTGTGTGGTTAGTACTATCTTAATACCATTCCAAAACCCATTCCTAACCATCAGCCTTCCTTTACATCCCAAACCATATTCCTGACAATACTTCCTGAGCACCTGGATCTAACCATATCTGAAGCACAAACTTTACAATTTGGGGAGATAATTATTTCCTTATTTAGATTAAGCATGTTTAAATTATATTTCTCTTATTTATAGCCAAGTTAGTTTGAGCACATGATCCATCTTCATATATTCTGCAGAGCCTGACATGGTATATCACCTGCTGAATAAGTGCCTCAATTATTAATCATACTGCTATTTGGAAATTAAAATACACATTCTCTCTATGACATAATATTTGTGGCAGAAATAGGTACAGAAAAATCTTTAGCCCGTTGTTCCAATTCACTGAAAAACATTTTTAAAGTAAGGGCCAAAAGTAAGATTAAATAAGTTTTTTGTCATTTATTTATTTATTTAGACATAAATTCATTACAAAATTGACTCACATATATATGAAAATGTTTTAAATCACAAAAAAATCATGCTCATAGAAAATATTAAGTGTTCAATTATATTTTACGTTTATAGACTAGCAAATGTAAGAATTATAACTGGATGTCTGGCTATGTTATATGACAAAAATGTATCTAAAGATATGACAAAGATGTTAAGAAATATATTTACAACATATATTTGTATCTTGTAAACCAATTTTATTTGGTTTCATGAAAAATAGAGGAAGGTACATTTAATATTTACCTTATGTGAATCTTTTGGTAAACTGAAACAAATGTAAAATTGTGTATCTTGCCTTTATAGGCAAAAGGTAACCTTATAAAAAATTATCACTGGGTGAATTAATACTATGCTTTTCTCTACACCTGTGATGTAGGTCATTTGTTGAATTCATTTGTCATAATTTTTCAAATTTCTGTTTTTTTGAAATATAAAATAGAATAATTATTTCCATTGATTCACATAGCTCCTTTTCTTTCCATTTTTTTTACCAAAATTATAGTTTAGCATCACTGCAGTTTTAGATAATTACATTAATTAAATGTTACCTTACATGAGGCTTTCCAATTGCCCTTCTTTTCCAGATACTAGTGAGATGCAAGTATGATTTATTTTCAGATGATCAGAAAACACTGCAAATGCCATCAAATTTAAAAAATTGATACTGGATTATAATTTGTATGGGAGACTAGGTAAAAGAGTTCTGTATCCACAAAGCACCTTACTCTATAAGCCACTTAACATCTGAAAGTCTCATTAATGTATCCTGGATAAAAGAAAGAACCAGTAAGCTCTAAATGCTGAAGATATGGGTCTGGCCATACACATTATACAAAAGAGGTGCAAATCAACAAGATTATGGTTAAAACCTAGGAGAAAAAAAATCAATTTTTAGAAAATCTTATATATAATATAAAAATATTTGTCACAATCACAAAATTATTTAGTTTTTATTTCTCACTTTATATTAGTAAAATATTAACTGTGATTTACTGGAGGTGCATGGTAAAATCACAAAAGTTAGAACATACTGAGGTGAGAGACATTTCCAGTTTCTCAAACATCAACAAAATAATTTTCTATACATAATTCAAATGAATATAAAAGGTGTAGTAGATTTGATTGTAAGATGTGGCGATTTTCTTCCATGCTACTATCCATGATATAAGCGAGAGTAAGTTATCATAATATACCACAAGTGTGCTGTAATTTCTTTAAACCAGAATGAGACCAAGTTTCATTTAAAAGCTATTACATTTTATGTGGCTTTGATTTATGTACCAAATGCATTGCGCTAAGCCTGGGTGTGTCCTCATGTACATAACACATGAGAAGCACATAAAAATGCAAAATAAATATTTGTTGACTGATCGGTTTTGTTTTACAACTTGATCATTTAGACTTTCAAAATAGGCATATTGCTTTCTTGATTCCCCAGGTATTAAAGTACAATCTATTCTAATTCTTAAATTTGGTATTTTAAAAAGATAAATTTCACCCATGAGGGGCATGGATAATAGAATGTGAAAGTACTTTCTTTTTTAAAATAGAATGTGCTCTATCTCTTTCTAAGTTATTAAAATACTCTGGAGAATGATATTAGTAAATATTTTGGCTTCCTCTTCATTAATATTAAAGAAAATTGGGTGGTAATAGAACTTGACAGATCATTTGCTCAGCAAATAGTTCACCAAAATAAAGCAAAAACCAGAGCGACAACAAAAAAAGGCATGACTTAATTACAAATAATTCCAAACAGTGTACTGATGCTCTCAGGCATTGACTGTACAAGGTGAATCATTGAGAAGTGGAAAACAGAAAAATGGGAAAGGGGTTCAACATAGTGGGTCTTATCATTAATTGAAGTTTGGTCCAAATAAAAAAAAATATGCACCTCTGTATTTTGTAATTTTTTCTGAGAAAGATAGGGAGCTGGGGAGATTGGAAAGAAAGAGAATTATCATAAGCCCTAAGAATACTTTTTTTTTTTAGAAAAAGAGAAATATTTGATGTCAACATTTCCATTAAATCTATGCACACTTACTTAAAAATTTATGTTTCTATTTGTTAGATGCAAGTTAGTCTCGCATAGATTGAATTAATCTGCAAAATGGGCTCATATCAGAAAATACTGTGATTAGAGCAATGATTTCTACAGTTAACTACAAATGGCTCACATTTCTTTGTAATTACATATAAAGTTCACCCAATATAACTGCAATTCCTATCAAAACTAAAGAGAATAGTGAACTGGGATGGCAGTGTTGGAGGAAAGCTGATGGGATCGAGCCTCAATTCAGGCAACATTAGTGATTACCTAGTTGAACTTTTGTATTCTGCTGCTGGGAACGCTGAATCTTCACCCTAGGGAAGTGGCTTTCTTGAGGTCATGGCAGATACGTGGCTCTAGGTCTAATGAGGGTGGCCAGAGTGTCTAAGTTGATCACATTTTATCATCACCTCATAGCACAGTGCCTGATACATGGTAGGTGTTCTACAAATATTTTAGGTAGGTCAATGAATTAAAAAACAAAAAGAAAGGAAGAATGAATCAATGAATCAATGAATGAATGCGACAATGGTAGAGCTATGCTAGACTATATTTTCAGGAATAGAAGTTTGTCAGCCTCTGGGTAATTGGGATGATCACTTGTTCTGATACCAAGTCCCTCAAAAATATTCTTGTTTGAGCCGTATTGATTAAAGAGACAATGCCAGGTGCCCATAGAAGCGGATACACTATGGCACATTTTGAAGTAGTTTTAATTCTCTTTAATCTTTTAATTTATCAGTGGTATTGTTTATCAGTGGAGTAACAGCTGTTTGAAGAGACTTTGTCAACTCCACCATGGGACACTCAAATTCCTGAACTGTACTACACATAATATTATGCATATCTACATTATGTCTTCAGCAATGGTGATGGGCAAAGACACTTATTTCTACCCACCCCCAGCAATTTTGACACTCAATAACAGGTACTTAGGGCATGGTAGCACTCATTCTAAAGGCAGTTTTCAGAAACGAAGACGAGCAAGAGAGGGGTAGAAGCGAAAGGACAAAAGCTGTGAACATTTAAACTGCTTAAAGAAAGAAGAAAATCTGTTAGACTTTTTATAATTGGAACAGCATATGTAGGTCTCAAAGGAATACAGAGGCAATTGGAAAACACCTTTTCAAATATAGGGCAAAGGGAGCAAGTCAACGGCAGGTGTCAGCGTGTAAACAAGTCAAATTCAGGTGTAAGGAGAGCAGGCATGTTTCATTTTGGATTCTCGGAAGCCATTCCCTGCAGACTGAAGTGGGTAATGGAGAGTGACATTTAAAGTGGCAGGAGCCAGTCTGGGAAATAGCTTCTGTATCCCACATAGTCAGGTTCAAGTGCAAGAGAGGTCATTGTAAACAGAGTTCATGGCAGTCCTTTTGATAGAGGGCGTCACTAAGAGTGTTTAGGGACCCAGGTAAATTTCCAGCCTCCCTCCTCATCTCGACGAACAAAGGCTTGTCCCTGGTGGAAGGAATGAGTTTTCACATTACAGTGAGGGCTCAGGGATGTGGAAAAAGCCACCTCGGTCTTATTGGGTGACACATCAGAAGTATAGAGAGGAAGCGGTTGCAGTCCTCCTGGGGGATTCGAAAGTTGAGAAAGGAAGTGGAAGTCTTCCCTGTGGCTGGCAGTGCTGTGACAGATTGTTCCGTCACCCCCATAGTCAATCGGCAGATTCTCCGTGGGGGCATGTGCATGATCAGCTACATCCCCTGGAAACTGGGAAAATGTGCTGAGGACTCTTCTGGGGTGGGAGGAGAGGGCACTGTAGTTAGCTGATAAGGTGTCATCAATGGTGTTGAGGTCTTTTAACCCAAGTGTTTGAAGGACCCAGGGGTCCACTGGGGGCCCAGGTTGTTCTTCACAGTTAGCAAATTCACCGGAGAGGTTTCGCTTGGCATTTTTGCAATGGGGGATCTCAGGAGGGAAATGTCTTTGTTCTTTGGGTTTCCTCTTTCCCTTTCTGAATTTTCCACATGCTTTGGAGAACTCATCGGATGACAGCAATGTCTGGGGAAGTAACATTTGAAAGCATTCACAATCATGTAATCAAGCAAGAAAATTTTCTTTACTCTTGTCTATTTACACCTCCTTCAAACATTTACAAGTCACCTTGATTCCTTAGTAAACTTGATTAAAGTTATATTTTCACATGCGTGTGCACATCCATGTAAAACGGATTGGATTAGCTTTTGTTTCTAAATTAAAATCTATGATAAGAAGTTACCACATAGAAACGACCAGTTCATATTTTTTACTAGTCACATAAAAGTTGTAAGAACTAAGTTATGTCTTTAAAATTTCAACTCAGGGAAGTAATGACTATTATTATAATGAAAATAATAGCCTCTATCATGTATTGGACACTGGTTGTATGCAGGGTCTCATTTTATTCAAGTACTATTAAAACCTCCTTGAGTGAAGAAACTGAGACACAGGCCTATCAGTGACTTGTTAAGGATCGTGCAGCCTAGACTGACATCTAAGCCATCTGCATCTAAAGAGAACCACTGATTGACAAGCTATGTGACACTGCTTCCGCTTAGTAACTTTCGTACCAATCCCATGTGATATGTATTATATTCTAAATCTTGCAAAGTTGAGAACAAGGGAAAAATTTGCACAGTTAATATCACTTACTAATTTAATAACTGTGCTTTTTCTGGAGCCCAGGCTAATAATTGTGAGCTGCACTCCCTTTTTTTTCTTTTGTTTTTTTTTTAAGATTTTATTGGGGAATTAGGGAAGGGGAACAGTGGTGGGGAATTGGGGAAGGGGAACAGACCATGTGGGAATCGAACCGGCAGCCCTGTTGCTCAGAGCTCATGCTCTTAACCAGCTGAGCCACTCGGCTGGCTCCGGTGCTCCCTTTCTTAACAAAGCTAACTGAGTTGTAAAGGCGTCAAATATATTGTACCCTTTCTTCTCTGAACTGATATGTCCAGTAAGAGCAAGAAGCATTATCAATTTAGATTAAAAAATATCAAATAATGTAGCTTGTCTAGAAGGTAAAGATTGGTGATAGAAGCAACAATGCTAACAGAATGGCAAATACATAACAAAAAATAAAAACCCCAAAGAAATGAAGAATACAAGAGGACTGTGGGCAAACTGTCTACCCTTGAGTTAGAAATAATTCATTTTAAAAGTGTAAGAGAGATGTTTATTAAAAAAGTAGCCCAGTCAAGAAACCTGAGCTCCAGTCATAGTCATAACATTTCAGCGCTGGACAAGTTCTTAAAAGATCTTTTAACCCATCCACTTGTAGATGAAGGTAACTGAGGCTCTAAGTGACAGCGATTTTCCAAAAGTCAGAAGATAATTAAAAGAACTGTATGTCTCTCAGATCTGATTCTTTCCCAACGTTTCATCCATCTAACTCTGTCTTTTTATTTATTTCCTAATTGTCTTAGCACTCCCCTGACTGGATATTGATTGGTAAGCAATTGTTTTTGTAATATATGACTAAATTCTGCAATTTAAACCAGGGTTCAGCAAACTGGGCTCACAAGCCACATGCGGCTCTTTGGGTACGTACATGTGGCTCTGAAGTAAAATTGAAAATGAAAATAAAACTATCATAGTTGCATTTATAAAATTTTTAAAGGATATTATTCACATAATGGTGATTTCATTTGTTTTATGGCTCTCGAATAATTTTTAAATTGTTGTGAGGAACAGGATTTGCTCTTCCGTCTCAAAAGTTTGCTGACTCCTGATCTAAATATTTGCAAGAAATGATACATAAAAATTCTTGCAAAAGTGCTGTATTTTGTTCAGAAAAATCCATCCATCCTATAAATGCATTTGAAGGCACGTTCTTTAGTACACTTCCTACATTTAATTAGGGAGCTTTCAGAAATGGTCTCCTTTCTCCGATCACCATTCTGTCCTTATAAAGGGGATAGTTACGTACCTTGGTCTTTTCTTTAAGACATTTAACCAAAGCAGAATTCAGGTATTGTCTGAGGTGATTATTCTCTTCATGTAACCTAGCAAGTTCTTCTTCCTTCTGCACCAGAGTATCTTGGAGCTGCAGAAAAAGTAGACAATGATAAAGGCTGCTCCACTATATTGACTTTGTAACCTTATAATAATGCCACTGATTCTTAACCTGTTTAAACCTGATTATTGTGCTGTTTGTTTTAAGAACCCAACCTCAGGGAACCCTTGTCCTCAGAGGCCTAAATTCAGTCTACACCCACCTACCACCTGATTGTTCAGTTTTGTGCTCTGAATTTTTTATTCATTGCAAAGTGTTTGAAGAGATTATATGACTTTTAAAATTGTAACCACAAGGGAAGGTATGTAGGAAAATGAGCTGTGTGCAACTGTTTAAATATAGAAAAAGGTGTTTAGAAAGGTTTCGCTGGACTCCTTCCTTGCACATTCAAAAAAGAAGGAGAAAGTGGTGGATTGGCTTCCTTTGGCCTCAGATTGATCTGTTTGTATGTCCACTAGATTAAATTACTCTCTCAGGAACAACAAACAAAATGTGGAATATGAAGCAATCTTTGTAAAAACTTTTATAGTCATTATCCCTCCTCCAAATGATGAGCTATGTTTATGGTTTAAATATATTATCACATCATTATATCATTTAATCTTTCCAACAGCTCTCTGTGGAAGGCAGCACAGATATTCCAATCTCATAGATAAGGAAAAAGAGGGTTTAAGAAGTCATACAACTAAAAGATGCAAAGTCAGGGCTTGGCTTCGGGTTTTGCTAGAAGGTTTTGGTCGTTGGCAGTGGTTTTTATTTTGTTTTTTGTTTGCTTGGGTTTTTCTGTGACATTATCACCTAACTTTGATCACTCTGTGGACATATAGCCACTTGGGTTCTAAACTGAAAGTCAACATATGAATTTAACAAGGGAAAGAAGCAGTATGACATATGGGGACATCAGGGAGAATTGACTGCATGGAACATGGCAGGTCTCAATGTTCTGATTACCTGTACATACCTGCTTATTTCTGTAGAGCTGAGACGAAAGCTGAGCCTCTTCCCAGGAACAAGAGTTAGGAAAGGGGAAATTTGAGTCACTGGATGATTCTATGTGAAAACACCAAATGGGTAACTGAGAAAACACACTTGCATTTCTTGTGTAATAAAAAAAATCACCAAAGGATTTCAGAAAGTTTAATAGGTTCAATTACCTTTCTAAAAACAGCTATTGCCTCCATCCAGAAAAACAAAATATTTAAAGCTTTTAGAAGGGGCAAGCATGGTATGAAAGACAAATATTTATGGACTATCTGAGGTGAACTACAGAGGTGACTACAGAGGTGAATTTCTGAGAGCTAAGAAGTCACATTCCTCCCTAATATGTGTTGTGTATTCCTGCTGGTTAAATTTATAAAGACTGTCTCATCTGCATTATCAATTCATTCAAATATTTAATGACACCCACCCCACTAGGCATAAAATTGCAATTTCACTATATTTTTCAAGTTTTTATCGTATTTTCTAAGCTTTAGTGCTTGATCATATAGTGTTTGGTTCTAGAATAAAATTCTATTTTTGATGCTAAAATTTTTCCGCAGATGAAATCTCTGCCTGTCTGTCAGTCAGTTAAATCTGATGGAGAGTATTTACTCAGAATTTTATGTGGTAGCACTTGCTACTTTAAAATAATTTGGACCTTGCTTCTCTGAAGACCTGATGAAAATTTCAAAACTGTAACTCAAATTCATGTATTTCAAGTGTCATCCTCTATGGTTTTTTATGCATTTTCCAAGAGGTGTTTTTTCATGTTTGACAGCAAGCTACACCTACCAAAAAAAAAAAAACAAACAAAACAAAAAACCTGCTTGGGTATGCTAAATTGGTTTACTTTCTTTTCCTCACCTAGCACAGTTCTGACTCTTGCTTCCCTCTACTTAAACTGAAATATTACTGAAATGTTTTTGATTGAAGTAGAATTATGAGTAAGGAGGCAAGAATAAAATTTTATATACACTGGTTTCATATTCTTGGGCATTCTGTTTCTCTGTCACTTGTAGTAGAAAGCTGGAATTGAAAAACTTCCTGATATATAAGTGTTTTTTCAATAGTTTGGGGCTTTTTGTATCTTTTCTCAAATTCAAAAAAAAAATCATGTGGCAGAACCAACAGCACAGATATTTAATTCTGAAGCATCTGAAAGTTTCTCCAGAAACTTGAGTGTTAATAGAAAAACTCCTTTAATGTTTATAAATACTGTTTACTAAGCCTGAGGTCAAAATTAATATGTAATATTTGATCAATGTTATACTTCCCTCCAAAGCTGAAGTCTTCTTTGGGCAAAAAGGAATGATTTTTTCCACTTACATGACACTACTCATAGAATTTCCTCTATGAAATAAAAGATTAAGTTAGTACTTCTTGATTCTCTCTCATACCCAGGGAAAGTTTCCTGAATTCCAAAAGAAATGCTCCGACTGGTATCTTGATGCCAAAAGCATCCCACTAGTATTGTTTATAACACTTTGACCCAGATGCAACTCCCTCAGTGAGTTAGAAATCTCCAAGAACTATAAAGTGTAAGGAGAAGAAATACATATTGTCCAGCAGGTAAGAGAAAGGATACCATTTTCACTATTTGTCAAGTACAAATGAACAGATTATTTAGATTGTAAAAATTCAGGAGTCTTTGGGCTTTCTTAAACTTTCCATAGCATCCCTGCCTCCACAGAGTTCCAGCCCATGATGCTTTGCAACTATGGGTGTTGGAAAAGGGCTTCAGGTCCACCAGGAGAGCAGAGGAGCAGAACTTACCCTGTGCCTGTGGTGCTTGTTGGTGCTCTCTGTTGTCCAGGAGACCAGCAGCCCAGAAAGAGACCCAAGTCTCCGTGGAAACGTCAACACTAGATTCTGACGTTGTAGTGGAATACGGGCAATTATAGCTCTGGCCTCCTACAAAGTACTCATCTTGGCAAGGCAGAACTGTGTTCTGTGAAATTCAGTATGAGAGGTAGTGGGGTTCCCAGGAGATGGGATGATGGGGATTTGGAAGGGGGAAAGAGTGGGAGAAAGATACAGAAATTATATGCAGTGAATCAAAAACAATAAAAGTGATAAGTATAGATCCCAGATTAATTCTGAGCTGTCAAAATATAATTACTAGAAGGGAATTGGCTCCTTGGTTTACGCAGTACTTTTCCTTAGGCCCTCTCAGCAAAGAAAGTGCTGGTATTAGATGCACCGAATTTGTAAATATCCAGGAGCATTCTCTGTTGCCATGTCTGAGTCATCTGACAGGCTACCCAGGATCTAAGTAAAAGGCATTCTACTTAATGATTCAAAGACATAAGAACTATTTGACTCTTTCTAGCACATATCTTTTTTTAATTAAAGTTTATTGGGGTGACAATTGTTAGTAAAGTTACATAGATTTCAGATGTACAATTCTGTAACATCATCTATATAGCCCATTGTGTCTTATATTGCCGATAGCCTTAAAAGACAAAGAGCCCAGAATACCAAGGCTGAAGTAAACAGAACTTGACATATAATCTAACCTCCTTATTTTTGTTTCTTACTCTCTGAACTATAAACTTGCCCCATTTGTCTCTTTCCCCTTCTGGCTTTAAATACTGCTGGGTCCTGTGGTGATCTCAACGACTTGAGATAGATATATAGGTATATTCCAGAGATAGCTAATAAATATCACTCCTAACTCTAAGCATGGGAGCACAAAGTCACTCCAAGTAAACATATCATCAAAGCTGAAACGAGTTAGTCAGCAGAGACAGCAAGCTCCTCCAGGCCTCTCCATCACTAGGTCTCAATGCCCTTCCAAAGTTACCTTGCCACTCTAACTGCCTGGCAAGTATTCTCCACTGTGTTCTGAGCCAGTGAACACCCTCCCACTCCTGACTCCTCAAACCTCAAACACAGTCTTTCCAAATGCCCAAGCAGGGGCAGGTATGCAGCAGTCTTCCTGGGTTAATTTGTACAACAACCCATTCCTAATTATTTGTCAATGTTTAATCAGGTAAAAGCCATTCATTTCAGCAGAGCCCAACTATGGACAAACTTTTTGACCACTATAAGTCTTTTGTGGACTTGAGGACTTTTCTTGGGCATAACATAAACAGAGAGAAAACAAATAAGAAGAGAAAAAAAAAAGTTAAGTAAAAGGAGTCACACTTTGTTAATGTTCCTGGTAAATTAAGTTTTCAAAAAGGCCTTTTTTGAAGCAAGTCCAGCTTGGGCAATACAGACCAAAGAAATTCAGCCAAAAAGTTTATCAAGTGCTATTTTCTTTTATTCTAAAAGCATGTTTGCAGGCTCTCTCCCTGAGGTTATTACTGGAATTAGAGCTGAGCTATTATGCAAGTGACACCTGAGAAGAAAACAAACCCCAAAATACCTCTAGACTAGCTCAAGTCCAAGTGTTTGCAAATATGTGCATAATCTAGAGGAAGAGTTGGAATGGAAAGTGAGTGCAGGTGTCCAGGGGGAGAACGTTGGGAGAAAGTACAGGGGAGAAATAACAGAGTGTAAAGGATGAGAGAGAGAGAGAGAGAGAGAGAGGGGAGAATAAGAAAGAGATGGGCATCAGAGAAGATGTCTTCATTTTCAGGTAGAGAAATCTTGCTTCCAAGGTGGAAGAATTTCTAATGGCAAAGCTTACTAGCTCTCTGAGCCTCCACGTTTCGCCAGCGGACTAGCTAATGCCAGCTTCTCACTTACCATCTTGCAGTGGAAGAAGGCGGTGCAGAAACTGAGCCCACTCTTAATTTTTCGGTAAAGCTGGTGGGAGCTTTAAATGGGACTGAGGGGAGGAGCTGGGAGAGGCGAGTTCTAATCCGCTGGAGCTGCGGGTGACGGCCGGGGCTCCCGGCTAGCGCCGCCCTCTGATTTGGTTCGAGCCTGTCAAACTGGTGACGTGAGTCAGGAGACATCCAGCCAAAGCCAAAGTCCTTGGCACTAACGGCGACTGCCGAGTGGGGACCTGAAACCTGCGGGGTTGGCTGCGCAGCGCAGCTTCAAAACCCGCGCCTGTGCGGACTCGCCGCTGGTCCGCGGGGCGCCAGGGGTGGCGGTGACCCCGCACCGGTCCCGCCCGTTCGAGTCGCAGCAGCCAGGCCGGGCGGGGCAGAGCAGCGGGCGGATGCCAGGGCGAAGGATCAACCCAAATCCGCATCTCAGGGATCAGGGCAGCACCTGGGGAAACCCATCCATCAGGTCCCAGAGTTACTACTGCTCCTGTGTCTTTTGTGGCCAGTGATAAATATCAACGTGCTGCATGACACTGTGAATTGATTAGGCTTCCCTCCCCCTCTTCTATTTTGTATGCCTCATTTTCCCCCCAACCTCTGAAGTGTGAGTTAAATGTAAAGGCGATCTAGGTCCATTCTAGAATGGAAGTTTCAGGAGAATAGTGATTTCTGCCTATTTTGGTCAATGCTGTCTCCAAAGTGCCTAGAACAATTTTTAACATACAGTGGGGCGCTGCGCAGAGAACGAATTAGACTACAAATTTAAGAATCTAAAGTGCCTGTCTGTATGTTGGTCCTATCTTCACAACTACTATTATATAGAATAAATTATTACAATTAAGAAGAATTAGTGTCTTAATACTGCTCAAAGTGTTCGATTTCCGCCATCTTTTCACATGCATTTTATTCTCATGATTCCTGTGATGTTATATCCAGGAGAGAAAGAGGAGTAATATCACCTTTAAATCCATTCATCTGCCGCTAATAGCCAGCTTTTATTTCAACTAGCAGTAACCTAGGAGGTAGGTGTTCTTATCGCCCCTGTCTTAAAGGATGGTGAATGATGCACTGATGTTAGGAAATTTGACCAGTGCTTACACAATTTGGTAGTGGCAGACTAAGGATTTGAACCTCTAATTCTAAATGCCATGCTTCTAACTACAATAATTACTTTTCTGTGACTCTCTTTTACTTCTTTACTGCATGTTAGAATCATTTATGTAGTGGGCGTTTTTATGGACTGAATTGTGTTCCCTAAAATTTATATGTTGGCTCTCTAACCCTCAATGTGACTGTATGTGGAGACAGGGTCTCTGAAGAGGTAATCTAGGTTAAGAGGTTGTAAGGGTGATGCTCTAATCTAACAAGACCAGTGTCCTTGTAAGAAGAGAAACAAGGGTTCTTATGCACAGAATACAGCCAGAAGGCAGCCATTTGTAAGTCAAGGAGAGAGGCCTTAGAAGACACTGATAACTTTGATAACACCTTGATCTTGGACTTCCATCCTCCAGAATTGTAAGAAAATAAATTTCTGTTGTTTAAGACACCCAGTCTGTGGTTCTTGTTAGTAAAGCCCTAGCAAACTAAACCCAGCATGGTGTAGGAATTGAGAAAACTTCTGATTCTGGCTTGTATAGTCCTTTCTGTAAAGCAGTTTTGACCTTTATTTATTCTGCCTTTCATGGAACTTATCATCCATTGCACTTAACAGTGACTAGCACACAGCAGATGCTCATTAAGTGTGCTGTGTCCAAAATTAAGAAAGAAATGGAAGAGGAAGAGGAGGAAGGTGCCAGACCGGGTAGAGGCCTTTTCTCCAGTTCCAATACTGTTTATTCACAAGCATTTTTAAGTTAATTGGGATGACAGCCACGTTCAGAGATGCTGCCTGGAAGATACTGCCCGCAGTACAGGATGTGACTCGTTCAGTGAGTGATGTGAGAGTGGGCCCCCTCTCTGCTTTCGTTGCACAAGGGGTAAGAATGCCCTGGTAATATGACCCTGAGATGATGGGGGAATATGGATGAAAATCCATTTAGATAGTAAGAATTAATGATCTTATTCAGGGCAAAGAAAACACTAATTAGTTTTGTGACAAGCACCAGGGGCAGAAAAGGAAGGATGGAATTTTGTTTTTGAAAACTGGCATAAATGAGACATGTGAGCCTCTGAAAGATATGATTTCTTGACTCTTAAATTTACTTAAAATGGGCTATTGTGAAAACATGGTATGAAAATAAAGGTTATAGACTTTGGATCCAAATATATAATACCTGAGTTGAAATTACTACTCTACTGTCTGAGACTGAATCACTTGGAGATATATTATCATGGTCTCCAAATCCTCAGTTAGCTCCTCTAGTAAATTAAGAAAGAAATGCCTATTTGAAAGGTTAAGAAAACTGGCCACTAATGCTGGAAAATTCCCATTTCAATGCCTCCATCATGAATGGCAGCTCTTATTATTGTCAGGCGTGGAGGACTTTGCCTTTGAACGTATATGCTACCATGCCTGCCTTCTTAAAAATAACTGAAAAAGAAAGCTACATGTATAAAACAGTTTTTTTAAGAGCTAGAAATATTTTTTAAAAGACTTTTATGGTTTTTGAGCACACAAAAGTTTCATAAATCATTAACTACTTTAGCTTGGTATAAGTGGGAGTGTATATAGTGGCAGAGAATCCCTAAAGTTAACCAGTGAAAAGCTATTGACAATTAAACATAAATCAGAAGATAACGCTTTCCTGAAATCATAAACTGATGGAAAACTTTCCAAATTCTTATGGTCTGATTTAAGCACATCTTTTTATTTATAATATACTGCTTAGGTATAAACCTTATTTTTGTTCAATATTTTTTTTTATTTTGGAAAAATGAGTCAAGTAAGCAATAATGTGAAATCCTTTGTCCTTTTTATATTCATATTTTTGAAAGACAGAGGTGTGACTTCCTTAGTGATTATGACCCATGTAGATGTGTTTTTCATCTACGAACAATAAGATCAGTTAAAATCTGCCTTTTGTACTGTGGCTGAAGCGATGGTGTTAAAGAAGAGGTGGCTAATAACAGCCCAATTGTTGAGTCTGGGCACTCCCCCCTGCTAAGGCAAAGATATAACAAAATAGGAGGTAACCTGACCTGCACACAAACCAAGCTTGCAGACATAAAAGGGCAGAGTGTGATCAGAGGTGGGCCAAGGAGATAAATAGATTGGCATATGGAATGTTCTTTTATTTCACCCCAGGAGGACACTTTATTTGATTACCTCATTAGTGAATTCAGTGGCCTATATAATAATAATAAAAGAACAATTTTAAATTCTCTTTACAGGCGTAGCTTTTCCCAAGCTTCAACAACTGAATCTCCAGGCAATAAAAAGATAGTATTTCTGCTTTCACATGTATTTAAAGAAATACATAACCCTTAGAGACAATTCAGTGCAGTAATAGTTTACATTGAAAGGTTTAACATTTGCATATTTTACTTCAGCCTATCTGGAGGACCGTGACACATTTAGTTTGCTGAGGCATAGATTTGAATTTCACCTCTCCAGAATGATGTGCAGAAATCAATCATGTTGATATGGACAGTCTTGCCTACCTACCACCTACACATCAGCATAGCTTCTCGTAACCATCACATGTGCAATAACTTATGCCATGGTGAAAAACCAATACCACATGAACAAAAACAATACAAAAACAAACAAAAAATCTAAACTTTTAATTCTGGCAACAACAACAAAAAAATAAGTTTGAGAAAATTATATCAGTTTATTAGCCAGAAAGAAAGAGAGAGGCCTTGGCTAAATTGAAGAGAGAGATGTTTGATTCAGGCCTGACTCAGATTAGTACTATATAGAAGTGTGTTGGGACGAGGGAGGGTGGTTGAGCCAGAATCTATTTCAATAGCTTTATAACCAGCTTTAGTCCTTTTTTGATTGATTCATTAAGGATTGCCTAATTTTTCATTTCTATTTGATTACATTATATTAAAGAAAATCATATATGATTGAGTTATTCACAAATTTGAAGATTCTCAGGTCTAAGAGTATGTCTTTCAAATATCAACCATCTACTTCATATTGAGGGATAACTAGCAAAGGGATATAGATCTACATTCATTGTGAAAAGCGAGGCAAACCTGTTTCGCACTGTGTAGCAATGCTTTTCTGCCTTTTCTCATAGTATAGCACTTAAAAATAATGTTTGCACAAGCTGGAATAGTTGAGGCTTCTCCTGGCTGTGGACAGGCAAGGGAGCCCCCATTGCCCCCAGGCCCTATGGGGCCACCATGAGGACGGGGCCTCAGGGCTTTACCTCACTGTAATTTGGTGCCCTAGTTGGGCAGTTCTGCTCTGTGATCACCTATCCGGCCAAATTGGAATAAAGTAATCTCAATACTGCTATAAAAATGCACACAAAACAGTGAAATTAACTTTGCATTACCACAAAAGTTAGAGATATGCAATCCTAAACAAAACAAAATAAATACAACCCCACTTCCTGTTACTTGACTCCAACCACATTAGAAAATAACTAAAACAGTGAGTGATTATGATAAACGTAAACCAGAGGTCTGCTAGTTCAACTAAAATTTGGAACAGAATGGATTTCTGCTTCAAGGGCACCAGCGTGTACATAAAGTAGGCGTTAGTGCCTTCATTGCTCCTGAAATTGCCCTTAAGGGTTTTTGATTCAGAGGTTAGTGGATGGATTGCTGACTAGGCAATTAGAGAGCTGAAAAGTGAATTCTCACTGACTGTGGTAACCAATTTTATCCTGAACATAATAGAAATAAGGACTTCACTGACTGGTTTCTTCAAAAAGCTTAATTTAGAGTGTAATAGCAAAACAGGAGAATTCGTTTTAGCCCTGGAATTAGAGAATCTGAAACAATGTGACCTCTTTCATGACATGGAGACAAAGAAATATATGTGGATACAAAAGGTTAAGCTAGGGGGAAATTATAATTCCATATTTTTGTCATCAATAAAATCTATAAGATGTTGATTGAATTCTTATTTACCCAGTAA